AAAAAAAAAAGAGCTAATGCGGATGCCTAGCCTTTCCCTGGGGCATCTAGAGACTGTCAGCAAATGGGCTCACCAAGCTCCCTCCTGGGAAAGGCAGGTAGAGAAGTATGCTCTGAGCCGCTGTGGGCCAGTGTTACAAACGTGTTTGCTCCCAATGTGTAGTTAAGATTGTTTGCAGGTGTAACTACCTGCAGACAGGTACCTGAAGGTACCCCAGCTCAGGAGTTCAGGGAGGGGTGTGGAGTTGGACTGCCTGCCCTGAAGTCCTACTTTCCTATATAACCTCACTTTATACACCCCTGGGCAAACTGCATCATCTCCCCGTGCCTCAGTTTCTCTCTCTCTCTAAAACAGTTCAACACTCATGTACTTATTGTTGAAAGGTTAAATAGGTTAACATGTCAAGGCTCAAACCAGTGGGTGGCTCGCCTCAAGCTGTGACACTGTAGTCTGTTCCTGCAGGGTAGAGGCCACCCTTCTGGAGCCCCTAGGGGCCCTGTGTTGTTCTCATCCTGCAGGCTATTCCTTTTCCATAGGATGATGGAACTGTCACACGTGGGTACTCCCAGAGCTGCAGGATGGAACCCTATCTGCACATTTCGGCTGGTCCCCAAGCTGTCGCTGGGTAGAGAATTGCTGTCAATGAGACTACTTGGGCACAATTTTTCATTTCAATAAATTATCCACTGACATTGATTAACTTGATGTATTTAAACTTGAGAACTGACATTTAAAAATTGTAAACTCTTAAACCCATACTTATTTTTACACGGCACATTTGTTATTTGGCTACAAAAATGTCTATTTTCTTTGCTATGAATGAAAATAACATAAAAAAAGAAATTTAATACCATGACAGATACAATGAAAAAATGAATTGAGCCCAGCCATAGTGGCTCCCTAGTCTAAGAGCATGCACTATCTTTATGGGGGGTTTCTACAGACAGAAAAGGAGATGGTCCATCACCAAAGGCCTCAGAGGATGGTGCAGAAGAACTTCTTCTCCCGGAAGGGGTTCTCTGATGCAGGCACTGGGATGATGAGGGGGTCCTCCCGCACATGGGCTTCGCAGTATGCCAGGAGGTCTGCCGCTGCCTGGGACACCTAGGGGACACAGCAGAGGACCCATTAGAGGTCTGCTCACAGAGTGCATCCAGTGAGGGGCCGGGAGGAGAGTGACAGGGCTGGATGGCCAGCGAAACAGCCACGCCCAGGCAGCACACAGCTGTTGCAAGCCCGGGACATGACACCCAGGACATGCTGCCCTGGGATACTAGGTCATCCAGAGGAGGCGGAGGAGCTGGCACAAAGGTCAGATGTCCTTGTCACACTCCCAGCTGGGGTAACAGTACTAGGCCAGGAGCCTCACAATGATTCTACTAGGCTGTTTCTGAAACAATAATGCAGAATGCTGTCCCTGGCCAAACCAGTGTGATGGTATTCATTATTATCATTATTATTCGTTGTTTTACTGCAGTTCATTCTCATGACCAAACCAAGAAAGATACTTGGTCCCCCTCAATACAACACACATTTAGCTGCTTTACAACAATATATATATTTGTCATATCTTTTTTTATTAGTGCATATTAGTTCCCCAGATGAGTGGGTTTCATTCTGGCAGATGTGTACATACCTATAACACATTTTGATCCTTTCTGTCACTCCTGTCCCCTCTTGTGCCCTTCCTTCCTCCCCTTCCCTGATCTCCTTCCTCTTTTCTAATAGTCTTCCACAAATGATAGAAGTCTTTCTGAGTCTAGCTTATTTCACTCAACATGACGCTGTCCAGGTCCATCCATTTTCCTGCCATGACACGATTTGTTCTTCCTTGTGGCTGTCTACTGCTGCTCCGTGTACTACATGAAGCACATGCCTTTTAACTTGGGGTGGCCACTCCCTGCACAGCAAGCTGCTCTGGACCAGGAGTCCCCCTCCCTCATTTTCTTTCTAGACTTATGACACATGACAACTGTCCCCAGCTCCAGGTAAGAGGAAGAGCCGGGTGGGAGGTGGCAGCCCACAGAGATGCACTCACTGTGGGGGAAAAGTTGCCAGCTTGATCTGCTCATTCACTGCCCTATCGGTCAGCTGCCTGCCAGGAGTCCTGCAGGGGGAGTCACAGCAGCCTGCAAGGTCCTTGGGATCAGTGTCTTCCTCTCCTCCAGAAAGACAAATCTGCTCCATGAGTGTATATGAAAATGTTTCCAGGCCTCCAGCCAGGCAAGCCACACATATTCCCTTTGGGTTTTTTAACTGGCTCATCCTCCAATATTTGACTGAGATTCTTCTGATTCCCGGCCCAGATCCACTCACAAGTCCTGTAAATCATTCCAACAGAGACACGGAATGAAGTTTTTTCCTCAGATAAATCACCTAGAAGTTCAGTGGATATTCAACATAAATCTTAACTAAGTCTACATATGTCAGAAGTGTAGACTGGAGAAAGAGGCACCAGTGAACTCGCTGCCTCCTTCTGAGAAGGCCCAGTGCTCCTGGACTAAGTCTTGACCTCCCTTGCCCTCTCTAGGCTGCCCACCAGGTCTAGAGGTTTAGAAGCTGCTGGGTCTCCCCAGGACCACCAAGGCAGTGTGGCCACTGAACCCATCCAATGGCCTCTCCAGCGGGGCCTTCACTGCTGCCAGGCCCTGGTGCAGAGCTGCAGTGACAGAGACAACCCTTTCTCCTGGGACTGCACCTCTGCCCCTGCCCCTGGGCCCTCCTGCAAGGTGCTCATTTAAGACACCTCAGCTGACTACCACAGCCGCCACTCCAGTGTCCTAGTTTTCATTTTCCCATCCATTTCATCTTTGGGCCATGCTCCAGCTGATTCTGAATCCTCTATCAACCGCATTATCTCATTCGGGAAGTGTTTACTGAGTACTTACCTTGTGGCTCATTGGGAGGAGGCAAGGAAAGAACAAGGCAAAATTTCTGCCTTCTAGAACTAATGCAGAAGACTCAGAAATAATGAAGTCACCATTATAATCGGCATGTGGTGGAATGTCCTAGACGCAGAGAGACAGGGACTCAACCCTGCTGCATCACCTTCTGCACTCAGAAGGCAGCCTGCTGAATGATCACTCATCACAGCAGCTTCCTTCCTCTTGATCAGTTCAATAGTGAACATGGTTAGCACCATCCATTTTGGGTGGAAGGGGCTAGTTTAATTCTGAGAGCAACCTTGAAAGCTTGTCTCCCTGGGCTGCTGCACTGTGGACTAGTATATCACAGCAGTGCATGGGAGGGGCCTCAAATATGCTGGGCTTTGGGGGACAGTCCAGTGGAGGGGAGCTCGGTGGGGCCTACAGTCCCTCTTCCACCAGTGTGTCTTCTTCCTTCCAGCCCAGCGTGCAACACACCAACAACAGGGCTGTGAACATCTCGCCTTGCCTGCTCTAAGCAGACCTCTGCTCGGAATTTTCCTGTCACCTCCCAAAGGTGACACTGTACTTGATGCCACAGATTTCCTTTCAAGAAAACAAGTTGTTCCTAGATAGCCTCCTTCTGTTGCTGTTTCAGTTCACAGCTGCATTTGCTTGGCCATCACTACACTCCCCTGGGTTCTATGTCCCTGTGTGTGCACCTGACCAGCAGGGATGAATGCACAGTGAAGTCTGGGGCAGAGTAGCGAGGGCCTGGCTGAGACCAAACGTGGAGACTTGGGTTGCATCCATAGTATATTAATCTTCTAGGTGCACTCAGAATTACTAAAGCATAACTGCTACAGTTAGAATGTCCCTCCAAAGAGGACACTGACATTTAACTGCTGTTGTAACAGGATTTACAGGTGGGACCCTGAAGAGGCGATAGACCATGTGGACTTCCAGCTCATGAAAAGGTCAAGGCCATGATGGCAGGAATGGGTTAGTTACCTTGGAGTGGGCTCCTGAGAAAAGGCAGAATTTGTCTGATTTTTGCTTTTGTTCACCCATGACCTATGACTGTCCTTCTGCCATGTTTTGATGCAACCTAGAGGCCTTGCCAGGTAGAACTCCCAGCCTCCAGAATGGTGAGAAATACATTTTTAAAAATAAACTACCAAGTCTATAGGATTCTGTCATAGCTGCAGAAAAGAGACTGAGACATTTACCCTATAAATAATGGTCTACGTATACAGTTCTGTGCCTAATCAAGTGTAGTCATCTCACCACAAAATAATCAAGAGTCTTCTACCTTAAGCAGACTTCTTTTTCACAGAATCCAAAGATCCTTTATTCTTGTATAGCCAAAGTGTTGTGGGTAACTGTTGGCATTTATTGTAATGGGATCAGTAGATATAAATCTAAGCAGTGACCATCTTCATGTCTCTTTGTGTGCCTTACATGTGAAAAGTGACCCACTGTGTGACATCAGGGGTTTACCCTACAGCTGTTCCCTAGTTTGGGTGGGAGGATTTTCTTTTTTCTTTTTGGTACCAGGGATCAAACTCAGGACCTTGCAGTTGCAAGGCAGGCATGGTGCCACTGAGCTAAATCCCCAGCCCTGGGAGGATTTTCTTAACAAGCCCTAGATTGATTTTTTTCTTCCTAGATTGATTTTTGTGGTCGGAGATTTTCTTCCTATAAAATATGGGTTTCAGACATTACCAGATTCCATAAAACATCTGCCACCTTAAAAAAAACATAAAATAGACAATTTGCTTTTGAAGACAAAAATTTTTACTCTGGTAGAAATCTGGAAACTCCCTTACTACTGATATTTTCTCATCAAGCCTCAAGCTTGTTCTGATGAAATGCCCTGAGCATCTCGTCATGCTGTTAGAGTCACAGGACAGCAGATGCTGAAAAGAACCAGTAGCCTGGGAACAACTGTGGAATTTTACCATTTCGTTTCAGAGTAAAAGAGGTGATTAAAACAGCCTAAGTTAGCACATAATCCTGTTAGTCCCACAATAATTACAAGCTTCAGTGATGGGAGAGAATGTTGCAATTACTATAGTCACATTCCATGACAAGACAGATGACATAATTACTATTCTTGCTGTGACACCCACCACACTTATCTTGTGCATCCAAAGCACAGAGATCCGTACCTACTTCTCAGCGATGTTGGTCTACTGAACAATACCATCTGGAACCAAAGGCATCTTTGTTGGTTTGGCTATTCCTTCCTCTGCTGCAGAAAACAAGCAGGATCACGGTTAAGAGCACAGCTGGTTGCAGCCAGTGTGGTACATGGTGCCTACTTTACAGACACCACAAGCTGTTGGCCCCATTGGACCCTCAGGGCATGTCAAGTATAGGTCTCACCTCTAAATTCTCAGCAAATGCTGCAGGGTGAGTTCTCATGATTTTTTTTTTCTTGTAACATTCAAAATATTTGAGACCAGGACATCAGTTCCTAAGGCAGTCTCTAGATATTTTCACAGTATGACTTGCAGTAGATCCCAGACCAACACAGGCAATTCTGTCATTGATAAATGGCCTCTGCAGGGAGGGTCTTCTACTCACTCAGTGGGCCCTAGGCCAGGACACCATCTAGCTGGGAGGGGGTGAGGTTATATAAAGGTGGAAACCAGAGGGAGTGGGGATAGAACATGTGTGTGAATGAAAGAATAACGTAGTAACTTCCCTTTGAATTGTTAAGGCCAAATCCATAATTGCAGGTTAGCCACTATATCACCATAAAGGCCTTTTTCTCCCACATCAAAAGCTGATTGCATATTGGAAATTAAGTCTAGGATGCATGAAAGAGGGTTAGTGTCACCAAATTCACAGAAGAGCTGTCACTACATGGCCCCTTGACAGGCCTGTTTGAGGATGAACAGGCCCTTCCAATATGTTAGCCAAAGTCCTGCCTGCCTGACCACCTCTCAGTTTTGATATTTCCTAATATTCTACAAAGAGAGCCATAATTCAGGCATTCCTGCAAGTTTACCAAGAGTAATGTGTAGGGTGTTGGAATCTAGTGAGGTGACTGATGAACACTGCAGGGACCCTGCCCTGAGGTCTGAGGTCTGAGCTCTAGGGGGATTCCACATTTTACTTCTCTTAGGGAGAAGCATAGAGCTCAGAAGCACATCCTGAGTGAGGCACTGGGTACCAGGTGCTGTGTCCTTCTGGGCAGGATGCAAAGCTGGGCCCAGAGCTTTCACTTCTACA